ATACCCTGTCAACATCCCCATTATCTGGTTTCACTTTATCTCGACTGTTTTGACAAAAAATATGTGTAAATTGTTTCTCTTCTTCGAAACGTCACTTATGTCTCATTCGAACATGTGTGGGCTCGTTCTTAGAATTGTTTTTATATCTTACGAGAGATATTCTTTATACGAGGTGAGTAAGGAAGTGGTAATATGTTAGCCTTTTTAGAAATACCTACTACTACTTTATGAAGACATGACTTTCTTTTTCTCATAAATTCGACATAGCTAGGATACAAAATTTTGATTTTACAACGTTGTACCAAACTAGAATTCTCTCCTGTGCCGTGGATGCGTTTACAAACATACAAGTTCACATACATATCACACCCAGACTCGGAACAACAATTAGTGGATCACACAAAGAGTTGCAAAACTAGCCCCAACACGTTTTGCACCACTCATAGGAGCAAAAATGCAGTTACAAAAATAAATAATAATAATCATCTCCGTACTTAAGAGCTTACAACTTACGCCGTACTCTTCAAAACCACAACACATTCATCAGGCCAAGCCCTAAGACTAATTACACAGAGTGTTTTACTAACTGCATTCTGAATGTGGACTTGCCCATTCAAAATGGACTCGCCCATTCTTAACTTTGAGACAGTTTTGGGTAAGATAAACAGATGTTGCACATGTGCGCAGGGTAAACGCGATGCATGTGTCTGAATTGTGTAAAAATCGACAGTCTTGTTGTTGTATTGCAAACAAATGCATTTTAGGAAGATTTTTTAGACTGCATTGTTTTTGTTTTTCGCGTAAAGAAACTATAATAATTGTTCCTAGTCTGACTGCCTCGTTGGCCGAGTGGTCGCAAGTGCGACTGCCGGGCAAGGGGTCTCGGGTTCGATTCCCGGGTCGGGCAAGTACTACTGGGTTTTTAAAAAAAAATCTCAGTAGTAGCACGGAGTCTGGAAATGTGCCCGGTATATGGCAATAGGCTCACCCCCTATTACATGGGACTCATAACATGAATAGTGACAAGTGGATATTACTTCTGTGTTCAGCTTACAGTTACAGTACAGTTCTGCCTACCCCTTCGGGGATAAAAAGGCGTGATGTTATGTTATGTTCCTAGTCGTGGTGGCCTGGAGGTTTAAGCCGCCCGCTTTTCATGCATGAGGGAGCTGATTCAAAACCCACCAACGGCAAGTACCAATGTGACATTTTCCAAGTTATATGTACTTTCTAAGATAATTACCCACTACTGGTAAACGGTGAAAGCATTGTGAGGTAACTTGGGCTTATAATATCTAATCATAAGTTTGAAATCGCCAACCCGCATTGAGTAAGCGTGGCGATTTAGGTTCAAACCTTCTCCGTGTGAGAAGAGGCCTCTGGTCAGCAGTGGGTACTTATAGGCTAGTGATGATGATATACTATTTAAGTTTACTACGTAATAAACTATATAGGATAGATTATGTAAGAATTGATACTTATGTGTTATCTACTGATTTAATAATGCTTTACGGCATACGTAGTGCTTTTCATGACTGTGAACCCCAAGCGTGGCTTGAAATTAGTCGGGGTACTTCGACAAAAAATACCTTACGTATTATGTTCATCCCTTCAAAGATTAACAGGTACGATGTTACGACAACTTTATGTAAATGAAAACCTTACCACATTTAGATTAAAATTCAAAACTAGACCTTAGACTAGAATATTCTACATTTTTGCGTAAACAGCGTTAATTAGTGCTTTGTCCTTTAAAGTACTTAATTAAAAATAATCTCAGTCTAGCTAGACAGTATTTGTGTCCTAAGCCACGACATGACACCTAGTCACTAAGTTTGCAAGTATCATTAAATGGTGACCTTGGAAGTTAAGAATAACTTGACCTAGGAAGATAGGTTGAAGAATTTATTCAAGAAAATCTTAGAGATGTTCTAGCTTAGCATTTCATTAAAGTATGAACTAACCCAAAAATAGCGGCTGCAGAAGTCAAGAATTGCTTCCCTTTTGTGTAATATGTAAGAGATTTTAAACGAGCTGCAAGCTGTTAGACATTGTTTCAATCAGCGTATGATACTAAACTGAGAATTTCGTTATAAAGTCGCGGTGGCCCGGAGGTTTAAGACGCCAGCTTCTAATGCATGACGGTGTGGGTTCAAAACCTACCAACGGCAAGTACCAATATCACTTTTTCCAAGTTATATGTACTTTCTAAGAATATCTAGACACCACTGACAAACGGTGAAGGAAAAATATCGTGAGGAAACCTGGACTTATAATTTCTAATTATAAGTTTCAAATCGCCAACCCGCAATAAGCAAGCGTGGTGATTAATGCTCAAACCTTCTCCGTGTGAGAAGAGGCTTTGCTCAGCAGTGGGCATTTATAGGCTGTTGATGATGATGATGACGATGAGAATTTCGTTAACCACAATCTAGATTCAAGAACCGAACCCGATAACCTCGACCTTCGCTTATACCAACGAAATAGTTTAATTGTTGTGTCTAAAACATTACAAAAGTATACATAAAAGTAATTTCTACTTCAAAGAAGTACATAAGTCTTTTTAAGTAGGGACATAAAATATTCAACAGTTAAGATAAACATTTGTACCGAGCCGTTTTTTGCTGACAGATATTATGATAAAAGCACTGTAGCACAAAAACTAAAGGTAAAATAACAGTTAAGTACAACTAGAGTAGTAACAAAATATTAGAACTTTCTCTATAGTACTGGTAATATATAGAAAGTATAATTTTTTATTTATATTTACACATTCTTTAAAATGACATACTAAAAGGCGTTATATTGAGCATGCTCAAATACATATGTTTAAAAATCGAACGCCTGTCGGTCCGAAGTTTCTGAAATGCGCATGACAATTTTGAGCCACATTCCGACACAAATGCTACTAACAAATGCTAAATTGAATCATGTTGTAGGACCTAAAAGCATGTGTAACAGTACATCAGTCAGTTATTTGTTTACATTGATTGACAAACTAGCAGACGAATATGACTTGACAGTGAGCAAACACTCGCAATATTAAAAGAATTACAAGTGCAATTCCGACATTTTTTACTTAGACAGTAGCAGTCAGCAGCGCTGGCAGCAGGCAGCAGCGCAGCACCGTAGCAGGCAGCAGCGCTCTCTGATAAACCTGAACCTACTAGACTGCGACTAATAACCTACCTACCTAAATAGAAGATTATGGATCTCATATGTGGAAGAATCTTTCCGTGTGAGAAGAGGCATTTGGTACTTATGGGCCGTTAATGTGAGATGTGATGGTGGTACATAACATTATTAGGGCAGTGACAATGAATATTTTTTTTAGAATGTTTCTTTTGACTGAGGTATTTGCACAATGCATTTGCATTTCTGCTTTTGCAGTTTAAACATATCCAACGAATTATAAATGCGAACGTTTGTGTTTATTTGTTGGCTTATTACTCTTTCACATTAAAAAAGCTGAAGGAATCAAGATTAAATTTGGAACAGGGATTATGGGGGACGCGGGAACGCGGGTGAAACAGCTGGCAGAAGTCAAGATTTCCAAAATTTTCTGAATTTAAAAGTGTTGGGGTTGAAACCTCTAGTTTCTAATTACGATTAATATGACATGTGTACCGCTCCCTATCAGGGAGACCCCTTCTCGTAGGCATATCATGTCAAAGGCAATGTCATCGAGGACCCTAAATAAAGGACATTTTAGCTTACGATGTTCGTATTTAATAAACCCTAATACTGGTCCGTTTAGCCTAAAGATAGATACTCAGTAGTTCATGAATAATGCAAAATGACTAACCGTCCCAATTTAATCTTTGAGAAGCTGAAATCAATACTTCAGACCCTAGTCTACAGTTTTAGTCCAGCTGTTATAGTTTTGTCACTTGGTAGATTATGCAATTTGATTACCATTTTCTGGCTAAGTTGTTCTCTTGGTCTGTTGGAGCTGACCGAGTTCTGGTTAGTGTTCGAAGTATTTTAATTAGTCTGTATTGAATTTAAATAGTTAGTTTAGTCCTTTAGCTCGCTTTCCTTTATGTGTCTTTTGGGTATTGGGTATTTCGGTCTGTGGCATTATATATCAGTAATAAGTATGGAGTTTGAATCATCATCAATGTCAGAACATAATTATCAAACGCTAACCGCCATGTCGGGTACTGGTAACCGACCCTTAACAGAGGAGTTGCCTTCGACAGTTTTCTGCCAGCTGTTAAAGACTTTAAAAATATGTATGTATGTAGAATCGTATACATAAAAGTCCACATGGGCATACATTGAATACTGTGCAGTAGGGATTAATAGAGTGGATAGGCAAAGCCAAGGTTAATGTAACGATTCCTAAATTTTCTATGGCTTCCCACCACATCCCTAAAGTCTTACAATTTTTTACCACTATGTCACAAAATAGCACATACACATAAATTTAGTCTCTACGCCAACATAATTAGATACGAAAATTCATTGACTCGAATAATCTACCTTTCATCCATCAAAAAACGCTTTCTTAAGATTAGAATACGCCAACTACGCTAAGTAAAGCGTGAATTTTGCAAATCCAGGCTTAGCGTAGTCTACGATTGTGACTAAAGTGTAGGAATTAAACTAGGTACGTAGTGCTACGTAGGTACTAAATGCAATACAGACTAATGGATTAAAAAAAGTAGAGTACGCCACTCAAAGTAATCAGACTTTACTTGTCAGGGATAAAAAACATTAGATGTACGACTGTACGCGACACTTTTAGGACTGTAAAAATGTTATCCATCCCTGTTTAAGTAATGGAAGGTAGGGTTACATCGTAAGTCAAATTGTCACATATTTTTCAGAGGAATATGTTATGATCGTTTTCGTGTATTTCTTTGAGTTTTTGTTGATATAGGATAACTTATATACACATGACTTATGTATGACAATACGCTACATAAAGTATAAACTTTAGGTAGAGTAGTGTCATATTTTCACGTAATTGCTAACTTAAATAAATATTATTTTACCTTAGTTATTATGGTGAATAGATAATGTCACGAGTTTCGTTCACATCTGAAACAATAAAAGAAATCATTTTATAATGCATTTAGTTAGATATAGTAGCCTGTAAATAGGTACCCAAAAAACAACGGGGGAGACATATTTGAAGGTGTATGATTATTGAGTACCTAATTGCAAAAGTTGATCTTTTGGGTAAAGATAACAGACGAGAGATTCTTCGTGGCATGAGGCAACTAAGAATAAAGAAGCAATAATAACTTGATGTGAACCTGTAATCAAGCGAAACAACTTTAAATGAATTAGTTGGCAACAGTAATGAGTAATAATTTTCATAGTTAACATTCATAAATCTCTTCTAAAACTTCAGATAGTGTTCTCTTAAGATAGTTTGTTGTTGACTTCGGAACGAACAGTTTGACTTTTGTTTGTCGACTCGTGTATTTTGTAGCTTCACTTAGGTAATGTTTACTGGGCTCAGGAGCAGGTCTCTTCAGAAGACCCGGTGCCCCTTACAGGTGTTGAGGGTGGCCACCGGGATGGTTTTAGTGAGGTAAGAATCCCACACTCCCTAGTCTTTCTCCCCAAAAACCTAGGCGCCTTTTGAAGGTTTCCCCCCGACATCAAAAAAAAGGTAATGTTTACTATTCCTCGTGACTTTGTCTTTGTCGTGCCCCGTTGGCCGAGTGATCGCAAGTGCGACTGCCGGGCATGGGGTCTCGGATTCGATTCCCAGGTCGGGAAAAGTACTATTGGGTTTTTTTAGAGATAATTCTCAGTAATAGCACGGAGTCTGGAGTTGTGCCCGGTATATGGCAATAGACTCACCCCCTATTATAGTGAAAACTGGGTGTTACATTGTACAGTAGCGTAATGTACACCTCTGCTTACCTCTTCGGGGATAAAAGGCGTGTTGTTATGTTATTTTTGTCTTTGTCCCTATATATATGCAACATATATTATATACTGATAAAAAGTTATTTATCATTCCTTTTTTGTTTCTAAGTTAAAGGTACTGTTACAAATACTAATTTCAAGCAGGAAAGCACGCTTCAATTGAGCTCTTGTCACTTAGTATCATGTGTCCGAATGTAACTCAGTCAAAATTAGCATGCTAAATGCTCATTTCAGATATGTTTATAAATTGCCAGGACGATTTTTGAATATTTTTAAGCATGCTCAGTAGAACATAACACCTTTGTTGTTTAAACTGTCAAACACCAAGCGGTCACCGGTGACCGCAACCTATTGTTCTATAATACGGTAGTTGACTGGTAGTCAAATTAAATACTTTTATTGAAATGTCAAAACCGATACTCTTCTATGAATTTTGTATTGGATCGCAACTTATGACGTCATCATATTTCGTCGTCAAACAGCATACTTATTCCCTAAAATTAGCGAGAATAAATCCAAAAGTACGTAAATTATCAAATCAATGGACGAGAGAATGATTATTTTTTAATTATTTGTCACATTGATAAGTTGAAACAATTTATTTTAAACCAAGGAAACTAGCCAATTGTGTCTATAAAGACGGTACTCGACGAGTTAAACTGCAAAGCAGATACCGACACTCATTTTAGGAGGCTTTAATTTGGCTATACATATGTAACTTGGGAAACGTAGAGGACTAGTAATATAAGGCACATATTCTGAAACTTCTACGCGAACGAGAAAAGCTTTGAACTTTTTCCTTCGACCTCAAGACCCAAGAAATTAACAAGGCAAATCTACAGATACTCAGATAGAGATTGACATGATTTTTTTTTTTTGAAGAAGTAGTAAATGTAAAAATTATTTAGAACTTTCTGTATTTAGGTCAGATTTATATCATCTAAATCTATTCAAGGTACATCTTATTAATGCATTGACATGTCCAAGTATTCGTGCTTGCGACTCCATATTGTTTGTATTAGGAAGCGTTCTCGAATTATTCATGATGTATGTTACATATAGAGGATTACGATTTCTATGAAGTACCTAGTACTAGTTGTACACACCTTTATGACTTCGTTGTTGAAGTGACTTCAATTACAAAATTATGATAAACAATTTATGGACGGTAGAACCCTCGGTCTGCGAGGCGTTCTCCGATCACCGTAAGCACGGGTCTGCGGACGGTGAACAAAGGTACATATCCGCCCGAACCAAACCCGCGGACGACTTAACAGATTACCAGGGTTTCGGCTCGGAGTGCAGGAGTAGTAACGTTTTTTAGTCAGTAAGATTCTGACACTCTCCTCGCCTCCCCAGGGCAGGAGAAGTTATTAAATGATTTTCCTCTATCAAAAAAAGGATCCTCGCTTAACAAAACTAAAGTAAAAACCAAAATAACTTTGCGTAGATTTCAAACTCAAAATGATACTTCTTCTACTACTCATATTGAAATTGCAAGTTACTCCTGCATGAAGTTATTACTGCAGTGTGTGATCTACAAATGGACGTTTCAAGTTCTGTGTGTGACGTGTATGTATCACTACATAGTATAAAACAAAGTCGCTATCCGCTGTCTGTTTGTCCCTATGTATGCTTAGATCTTTAAAACTACGCAACGGATTTAGATGCGGTTTTTTTATTCGATAGAGTGATTCTTAAGGAATGTTTATATGTATAAGACATGCATACTGCACCCGTGCGAAGCCGGGGCGGGTCGCTAGTGTAAATATAAACGCACTTACAACGGGGAAAATATCAAGAGAGTTCAACATGTTTTCCCCCAAAAAATTCCTTCATCGTCCTTGAAATTAACTTCAACAAATGCATACCATATACTAGATATATTGGAAATCGATTGTCATAACATTTTACGGTCTGTTTTCGAAACAGATTACATCATTACCCTTTACTGCGAAGTTGGATCAACATTACCCCTTCTTGTTGATGTGTGGCATGCCTAGAGCTATTATTTGACCGTTACAGCTCTAATCAATAAAGGTTCGAAGGAATTGTTGACCTTAAGAAGATTTTGTAAGAGTATCTAGTTCTGTCTTCGAAATACATAATACAAAATTTCTAAGAGTTCTAAATCATTGAACAATGTATCAACGTCCTTTAAGGTTTGTGAACAGTGAAATTGGGTATTAGGTACATCAGGCGTTAGATTCGAAAGACTATGAAGAATCGACAGGTATACTGTATATTACCTATGTAAAAAAAATAATGATGCAGCAGACACAAGTATGATTATCGAACAATAGGTTTCGGGGCCTAGACAAAACTTTTCAGCTTCAAGAAAACTGGAATTGTGCCTAGGCTTAGTTTTATTATACTTATTAAATTTTCCTAATCATATTATCGCACACTATAAGTACACTCAGCAAAACAAATGCCAACTATCCAATAGTATCGCACTACATTATTTTAATTGCGTCACACATCGTCCCGTGATATTCCGATCACTGAAATCAATCCCATAAATTCAGATTGCATTGATCATCAGCGATCAGGAATATGTCAAAACCTCTATTGCAATACCATTTACTACCAGTCTGAACTTTGCAAAGCAAATTGGACCTTACTGCCTTCGAAAGCCTATACAGGTGGAACATGAAATTGATCGGAATAATAAAGAAATGGATGAAAGATAATTGGTGGACAAAGGTAGACTAACGAGGGTAGTAGCAGTTCTTTTGAGAATAAATGTTCCAATAATAGGGCGAGAATTATGCTTGGAGAGTACAAAGTGCTGAGAGCTGTCTTTTTGCTAGTATTATTTGGTATTTTTTGGCTTTTTAGGACTAAAAAGATGGCTGAAATCGCTGTCGGCATTTTTATTGTGTCAGGAGACGAGTCAGCTTAGACAATCTGTCTAGTCTATCTAAATGTGATTATTGTAAAGGTCACCAACGTTTTCATTTCTCCTCTTGTGATGTGGGTCTCTATGGTCAGCGCTGATGCTCTTTAATCAGGTGATGCGTGTGTTCGTTTGTCTTCTTTCAACTATGAAACAAACTATTGACTGATAGATTTTGGGTGTACATGTGAAATATTGTTTCCTCTTTTGGGTGAAGAAACACTTCTCGTATAAAGAAGAAATTACGCAAGTCGGCGATGGAATCTGTAATTCAATTTCAATAACTAGTACAACTTTTACCCAATTCATCAATAAGGACAAAATTAAATTTTCTTGACAGAAGCAACTACTAATTACATTGTAGTCCCAAAATAGACCGGTCGACTATTTAATAAAGGGCTTTCAATATTAAATTGTTCACTATGAATGAGCATTTACAATAGGTATAGGACTTCTATGAATAGACTTCAATTTTCTCTTAAACATAGTCACTGTTTGATCAAAATTATAGAATGAGCGAGTACTACCTCTAAATATTGGTAGAATCAAAGTTATGACAGTACTAGCTTCTTCGAGCAGCTTCGCCTGCGTTACCGTCGGAAAAAAGACTTAGCCTATGCCTGTGTTATTACAGATCATAATCTACTTCTGATCTATATTCATCCTGATACCTTCAGCCGCTTTGACGGGAAGAAGTAATTAACAAACAAACAAAGACACTTATTTTAATATTAGTAGGATTATGACTGATTATATCTGAGGCACTAAGCTGATGAAGCCATTAGCATGAAAGCAGAACAGATTAATTGATAAAGCTTTACAATCGTTGCTTGAAAAAATAAAACAAGGTTCCAAATAAACTTTGATTGTGTTTGGTTTATTATGAAGACGAATGGAGACCTAACAGGCTCCGGTTCGAAGAGCAGGAGTAGGAACGGAGTGGTATTAGGTCAGTAAGAGTCTCTCTCTTTCGGGCGGGAAAAGTCATTGGATGATTTTCCATCGTCAAAAGTTTTCTAGGACCACATTGGTTATCATCAGTTATCAGATTATAGAATGATATATGAATGATGTATCTTAAATGTTTCCACAAAACATTCTATTTAACAAAATATTTTATTTAAGAACATAAGTCAACGAATCAGTAGACGACCTCCTTAATAAAAGCCATTTCAATACGAATTGATAAAAAGAGCTAAAAGGACCAAAATTCAAAGGACCATAAATGCCTAAGGACCAAAATCAATTTGCATTGCTA